GATAGAGACTCACAGATGTTGTGTCTCTAGAAAAAATGCAGAAAAGAGCAACTAAGATGATTAGGGAGCTGGGGGATAAAACATACAATGAATGCTTGCAGGAACTGGATATGTCTAGTCTAACAAAGAGAAGGACTAGGGGTGACATGATAGCAGTGTTCCAATATTTAAGGGGATGCCACAAAGAAGAGGGAGTCAAGCTGTTCTCCAAAGCGCCTGAAGGCAGGACAAGAAGCAATGGGTGAAAACTAATCAGGAGAAAACCAACCTAGAATTAAGGAAAAATTTCCTGACAGAACAATTAATCAGTGGAACTGTTTGCCTTCAAAAGTTGTGGGTGCTCCATCACTGGAGGTTTTTAAGAAGAGATTGGACAGCCACTTGTCTGGAATAGTATAGGCTAGGGTCTCTGCTTGAGCAGGGGGTTGGACTAGAAGACCTCCAAGGTCCCTTCCAACTCTATTATTTTGATAGCAAATATTTGTAGAACTGTGAACTGGAAAACTAAACACCCAAGATATGCTCCTGTTCATCCTTGCTTTAGATTCATTCAAACCACAGGAAACTTAAATGCAGGCATCAACGAATGCAAATCACCAGCTGTCTGCAAGCAGTATAAATCCTTTCATTCTCCACCATCCAGTCAGAGCTGAAGAAGCTTCTTAGATGAGAAGCGAAATGTCTTCAAAGAGAAAAAAGTAAGCCCAGTTGCGTTGTGATAAAGGAACTTTGGGACAGCCATTACCTGGATGATTAAGAATCTTCATAGACATCTAAATCCAAAATGACTCTTCCGAAAGTCCTTTTGGAAAGTCTGCAAATGCATTTGTTTGTTGCAGTAACCTTGGTGCTGCATGTTAACAGAAAGGCTGACCTGGGCTAGGAGGAGACAAAGACTGTAGGAAAATGTTATGCCAGCTGCCATCTGGTGGCATATTTGGGAAGGACAAAAAACATGCCAATGCTAACTAACCTAACCTATAATCAACGCTCTGGATTAGCTGGCTGGCAACCTGTGCCCTCATCCTGTCCCATGGTAAAATAGCTGTGAGAGATTGTGTAAAAAGCTGAGGAAGGAATGGAACTTGTTTCATAAAGGCAACTCAGCCCATAAAGGAGAAATTTGGGAAGAAGCGTTTCAAAGCATTTGTTACCTCATAGTCCTTTCACTCAAGATGATGACTGAAAAGCGACAACACAGGAGGAAAAAGGGCTGGTGGGAGAAGAGGGGGAAAAAAGCCCAACTAGACATTGTCTCCTAATGATCTTCTCATCATGATCAATTGGGATAAAATCATCTGGGAAAGTTAATAAAATATTTCCCGGCCTGGGGGATCTGAAGTAGTTCAGCCTCTCATTTGAAACAATTCAGTAATATTCAATTGTAATTTTTCATGATTAAACATCATTGAATGAACCGAGTCAATTGCAGTTTACTCAGTCCAGGGATAAACAAACCATAGCTTCATATGATGTGTGAACCAGCTTCTCCTCCACCACTAGGCAGCCCACTGGAATAGATCTGAAAACCCAGATTATTTGTTCAGATCTGCAAAGATAAGGTTTTATATCCCAAGGAAGAGTCTTGTTGAATCAGAAGAAAGGCAATCTAGTCCAGAATTCCGTTTCCAACCTTGATGGTCAACCCATGTCTCTGAGAAGTTGACAAAATGTTCCCAGGAAATGAATGACCAGCAGTGGCTGGCTTGTGCCCAGAACAAGCTTCACCCAGGCAGCCACTAATCCAGTCAGTTCTGGCACTATACAATAGCTCCAATCAACTGAAAATATCCCATTGTGAGAATACATTCTCTACCCACTTCAGGAAATGCCTGAGTTCCCTCAAGCCTTTTACTAGGCGAGCACTGGCAAATGCTTACATCAATGTATTTCAACCTTGGTCACTTAAGACAGGGATCCCCAACCCCCAGGCTGTGGCCCAGTACTGGGCCCTGTTCAGTACTGTTATAACTTCAAACAGTTACTAAATGAGTGATTGTTGAGGATTACTTGCACTACAGTGGCTAAATTGATAAAATGTAAATGTCCACCACCATAAGCCAACAACCCCAGGTTTGTGGTAAGGTAGATCAAAAACCATCCTGGGAAAAATACTGTATTGGACAATCACTTTTGTATCTTTTTTTAAAAATGCAATAAAGCATTCATATAATCAGCAGGAGCTCAGCTCACCTGAAGGCTGTCTTTATCCATATGGTGTGTTATGTGAACCAAGTTAATTCAGTAAATCAGCATGTGCAATTACAATGCATTCAGAAACTATTCAGATCCCCTTCACTTTTGTCAATTTTGTTATTCTGCAGCTTGATTCTAGTTGTTGAAAATCATTTTTTCCTCATTAATTACACTCAGTACCCCATAATGAAAAAGTGAAAACAGAATGTTAGCTATGTCTGTAGATTTATTAAAAAGAAAAAACTGAAATATCACGCATTGGCATAAGTATTCAGAACCTTGGCAATAACACTTGAAATTTAGCTCAGGTGAGCCTGCCATTTCTTTTGATCATTGCTGACATGTTTCTACACCTTGATTGGAATTGACCTGTGGTAAATTAAATTGATTGGTCATCATTTGGAAAGACACCCCCCTCTCTTTAGAAGGCCTCACAACTGACAGTGCCATACTGTATCAGAGCAAAAGCCTTGAGGTCAAAAGAACTGCCTACAGAGCTTAGAAACAGGATTATTGCAAGGCACAGATCCGTGGAAGGCTACAATAAAATTTCTGCTGCACTGAAACTTCTTAGGAACACAGTGGCTTCCATAATTCTCAAATGGAAGAAGTTTAGTATAACCAGGACTCTTTCAAGAGCTGGTCACCTGATCAAACTGAGCAATGAGGGGAGAAGGGCCTCAGTAAGAGAGGTGACCAAGAACCCAATGGTCACTCTGACTAAACTTCAGAGATCCTGTGTGGAGATGGGGCAGAGTTCCAGAAAGACAACCATCACCGCAGCCCTCCACCGATCTCGGCTTTATGGCAGAGTGGCTAGACGGAAGCCTCTCCTCAATGCAAAATACATGAAAGCCCGCTTGGAGTTTGCAAATAAGCACCTGAAGGACTGTGAGAAACAAGATTCTCTGGTTTGATGAAACCAAGTTTGAACTGTTTGGCCTCAATTCTAAATTTTATGTCTGCAGAAAACCAGGCAATGCTCATCACCTGCCCAATATCATCCCAACAGTGAAGCACGATGGTGGCAGCATCATGCTGAGGGGGTGTTTCTCAGCAGCAGGGACTGGGAGACTAGTTGGAGTTGAGAGAAAATGGAGCAAAATACAGGAATATTCGTAGCACTCAGATCTCAGACTGGGCTGAAGGCTCACTTTCTAACATGACAAAGATCGTAAGCACCCAGCCAAGACAACACAGGAATGGCTTGGAGACAACTCTGTGAATGTGCTAGAGAGTGGCCCAGCCAGAGCCCTGACTTGAACCGTATTGAACATCTCTGGAGGGATCTGAAAATGGCTGTCCACCGATGGTTGCCATCCAACCTGACTGAGCTTGAGAGGATCTTCAAGAAAGAATGGCAGAAAAATCCCCCAATCCAGGTGTGCAAAGCTAAAAAGATTTGAGGCTGTAATTGCTGCCAAAGGTGCTTCAATAAAGTACTGAGTGAAAGGTCTGAATAATATGCCAATATTTTTTCTTTTTAATGTATTTACAGACATTTCTAAAATTCTTTCACTTTGTCATCATGGCGTGTTGAGAAATTAATGAGAAAAAATGAATTTCAACAACTGTAGAATCAGGCTGCAACATAACAAAATTGACAGAAGTGAATATATTTTGAATGCACTGTAGGTCAATAAATCAGAGTGGTAGAGTTGGGAAGGACCTCAAAGGTAATCAAGTTCAACCTTTACTACTACATCCCCAATATGTTATTCATCTATTTCTGTAAAGAAAAACAGAGATGACCTTGGAAAAAGTATGAACCGCCTCCAGATGAGTCGCATTTAAGGCAAGTTGAATGATATACAAGATGAATTAACGAACCATTAAGGCAGTGGTTCTCAACCTGTGGGTCGGGACCCCATTTGGGGGTCGAACGACCATTTCACGGGGGTCACCAAACAAGGCTGTCCGCCATTTTTCCCCCCTTTTCTTTGGCCACGCCCCTGACACCCAGTGATGTATAAGTGGTTGGGGGTCACCACAACATGGGGAACTGTATTATGGGGTCGCGGCATTAGAAAGGTTGAGAACCACTGCATTAAGGGATAGCGGTGAGGGGCTGGTCTAGAAACCCAGAGACTGTGAGTTCAACAAATAAAAAGAAAATGCTATGAATATTTCCTGAAAGATGAGATATAAATCTAAAATATGTTTTTTGACACTAAGCCATAAATCATGGTTTATAAATCAAAATGACTGAATTCTCACCAAACGAAACATGCCACATTATGTTCAGAAAGATGTTAAGATGTGAACTCAACCATTATTCATTTTATAAACAATAGTTAAACAGTGTGCAGTGTTTCTCCACCTTGGTGATTTTAAGGTGTGTAAATTTCAACTTCCAGAATTCCCCAATCATTGAGGAATTCTGGAAGTTAAAAGTGCACACATCGTAAAGTCACCACAGTTGGGAAACATTGCCTTTACAGTGGAAAACTGAGCCAAAGAATCTCTTACTATTTAATTTTGAAACTACACACTGCACATTCAAGCAAACCACGTTTTGGCTTTGCATTCTGCATGAATCCAGGTGCTCTATTCCAAATAATAATTAATAGGAATGGTGCATTGTAAGCCCTAGATTCCACAGGTAAGACTTTGCCTCGCAGATCAGTTCCGGGCAGAGCTCACAAGAGAAACTAAATTATTTTTCACTTTTGATTATTTCGCTTCTTCCATGAAGCCAGTCCTAGCCTTCCTCCAACGCTACTCCTTCATCGATTGCTTCTGTCTGCCTTTGTAATCTCTATTGCTCCCGTATCGGCTTGCCACTATCATGCGGGTCTCGGAGGTTCTAGTCTCGCGAGATCTCTTGGTTTCCGTTTCCGTGACCCGAGGTTGCTAAGGACCGCTTTCAGTTGCCAAGAGAGGCCTAGTTAGGCCTAGTTTAAGACGCAATGGCGGAGAGCCGGTTGGAGAAGTTGGGAACAATCTTTACCCGGTGGGTCTTTGGGTTTTCTCCCCCTCCCTCCTGCATTCTGTGTTAGAGCTTGTGAAGAGCGGCAGTCGTAAAATGTATACTAGGGAGTTCCAAAGCAGGGAAATGAAAGCGTGGCCGCTTTGGGGCAGTTAATTAAAAAAAAGTCTAGAAATTTGCGATAAATGTTTTCCCTGCAGAAATACAATGCTTGGGCGGCCAAAGCCTGGGGAATCCCTGGAAGGCACAAAGAGTTGCGGATCTCTTGGGGGCAGGACGGATATTTGCAAACCCGAAAGTGGTCGAACCTCCAGTTCCAGAGGCAGTTTAGTTCGCGTGGTCCTTCTCTAAAGGAACTGCCAAGTGCTGGCCTAGGAAATATCCTAACATTGTAACCCGCCCCTTTAATGAAAAGGACGATGTTTTATATTTTATCTATTTATTTTATTGTATTTAATTATGGCTGGCTGTTCTCTTCTGGAGTGGCTGGCTTTACAAAATTTAATAAAATAAACCCATAAAATATCAGTAGTGTTAATTTGACTAATATATAAATATTGCCTCTATATTCATTTATTTTATTAAAGGCACTATATAGCTGGCCAGTATCTTCTGCATTAGGCAGCCCTAATATATTTTAATAAGATGAACACATAAAATATGAATGTTATTAATAATAACTAATATGATAGTAATAATATGGGGGTTTTTTTAGGGTGAAGGTTCATTCTCCGAGCTTGTGGGTTGGTTTCTGAATTTTTTGTTACCAGGCTAGGTAACATCTTCAGCAGAATTTAGGGGATGTCCATGTCAGTGTTCTTGTGGATAATTCCTGGTGGAGTGTGGCTGTGGGTTTGTAGGCTATTGCTATTCCTAGGGGTTGGAGAATTCTGGCTGTAATTTCCAGCACTCCTTTTGAATAGCAATAGCCCACAAACCCACAGCCACACTTCCCCAGGAATTATTCAGAACCATATATAAGATACAGAAGGATGAAAGAAACAAGGTGATCTACAAAATCTACTGTAACCATTGCAACGAATTCTACGTGGGACAATCATCACGTCAGTTAAAAACTAGGATCCACGAGCACCGGCTGGCAGTCAAACACCACAATCCCAAATCCTTAATCTCTACCCACACCGACACCAAACAGCACCAGTTTGATTGGAGCAACACAAAAATGCTTGTGAATTCATTGAAGCCTGGCACTCCACAAGCAATTCCATCAACAGACACATTGACCTACAACCAGCCTTCAAACCCCTCAGAATCCAAATCAACCGCACAGCCAACCAGAGGCGGCACCAACCCTCAACCAACACACACAAGCCCTCACCTATCCAATGACCCTGACCTGATGTAACCTCCCTGTCACAAGACCCATCACAGACCCTCACTTGACACACCCACACCTGAAGCCCTTATAAACCGAAGAACACTGACATCCCCTAAAGTCTTTTGAACATGTTACCTAGCCTGCTAACGAAACATTCAGAAACCAACCTACAAGCTCGGAGAATAAATCTTCATCCTCATCCTACACCCGAGCTACAGATATTCGCCACTATTGCAAAAGGTTTTTTTTCTTTTCCTCCTTATACAAATTGACTTCCTACTCTTTACTTGCAGGGTGCAGAACTTGCTCCGGTCTGGAGCAATTCGTGAATCCCAGAAACCTATCTGGTATGATGTTTACGCTGCTTTCCCTCCCTTGCGGGAGCCCACTTATCGCAATATTCGCCCGTTGGTGGGAAAGATAAAAGATACAGTGCCCCCCATTCTATACCCGGAGGATCAGATCCGAGCGTAAGAGTCACTCCTTTCTTTTCCCTCTTTGTTTCCCCTCTCTTCCCATTACTTTACAGGTAGTCCTCGCTAACTGACTGCTTGTTCAGCAACTTTTCAGAGTCAAAGGGCACTAAACAAAGGAGATTTATGAAGAGGCAGCCATTGTAGCATACCTGTGATCATATGACCGCAAATCAGGCACTTGGCAACTGTTACATATATAGGATGATTGCAATGTCCTATGGCTATGTGATCGCCATTTGTAATCTTCACCACTGGCTTCTGAGAAGCAAATTCAAAGGGGAAGCTGGCAGGAAGTCTCAAGTTGCAGACTGACTGGTTCAAATTCACCCAGCTGGCTTACAGGAGGCCAAGAGGCCAAGGTCTCTTGGTTTCTAAACCAGCACCTTCACCATTATACTAGACTGGCATTTTTAGCCCTCTATAGAGTCATACTCCTAGTTTATACAGCCTCCATCTTATCAATTATTGCTGATAACGATTGTGTAGCGATTAGAAGTTTGAATAACAATTGAGATTTAACTGAGACTTGGAAGCTTATTGAGCAAACTAAACAATCATTAGTTCTCATTGTCACCTGTTTCACAGGTGTTATGGGTGTAATTTTTAGACAGACTTTTTATTCCTTTCTTTCAATTCCCCTTTAGATATAAGTCAGCATAAACATGTTATAAACCAGAGGTTCACAACCTTTTGGGCATCGGGGGCCGGTTCCATGGAGAGAGGTTTTTCCGCGGACTGGAAAGTGTATGGTTTTGTGTGCTGCCTGCATCTCACAGATGGTGTTTTGCTTGTTTGTGCAGCCTGGTTGCTGGCATGCTGTGGCCCGGTACTGGTCCACGGATTGGGGGTTGGAGACCCCTGTTATAAACAACAATAGTTTTTCAGATCTAAGGCATCGTTCCTTCTCCCCTCCTTGCAGTTTGAAGTGGTAGGGATGTTATTGTGCAACGTCTTGCACACAAAGGTTGTCACTTGTTGCTAAGATGGCTTGGAGAATGCCACAGGAAATGACAAATATAGTCCTTGGCATATGACTGTCAACTGGTTGTAAGTTGTGACCTTTTATGGCAAATGCCACGGTTGTTAAGTGAAACCATCATTTGTTATGGGCATAGATTTGCGAAAACTGGAAGTTAGTGCTGGTTTTCAGCAAAATCATTGTAAAAATGTGACCATGGGATGCTGTGAATCTGGCTATGTTGCTAAGTGCCTGGAGTTCAGTCATGTGACTGCAGGGGGGGGGCATGACTGTTGGAACTTCAGAACCAGATCATAAATAGCTCCAAGATAAGTCCGTCGTAACTTCGAACAGTGGTAAGTCGAGGACTGCTTGTATTTTTAAGGTGTAAGTAATCTGCTTCCCCTTGTGATGTTACAGATCTAATGGCAGAGAGGGACTATAGCTGATATGTTATTCTTGTTTTGCTGCTTCTTAAGTCTCCCAAGTTTTTCCTGTTACACTGAAGCAGAAAATTACTAAATGGTAGTGTGTAATTTCTCACAAATTTCTGGGGGGGGGGAGTCAAAATAAATATAAATAGATGCTTGACAGCCATCTGTAAACAACCCCTTTTTTAAAAAAGAAAAAAAAAATACTGAAATCCTTTGCTTTCTTGGATAATAAGATGGCATCACCACCTCCTGCAGGAAAAATGATAGTTTCACCAACCCTAAATTAGACTAAGACTTCAGCTGAATAATACAATTTGCAAGAAGCCTGTTCATTTCTCAAGGCAGGAGAAGAAATACAGCACTATTAGAGCTAAGTAATATGTATTAGCCACCCAGAGACATGTATTTGAGCTGGATACTATATCAATCTACCTAATAAATAAATATTAGTACAGCAATATTCTTTGTCTACCTGGAGATAAGTTCTAAATTGAAATTTCTTATCTAATTCATTAGGAAATTTTATGAAGTCTATGGAGCTGGTTCAGGTATATTTGAACTGGCAAGATCAAATTATAAATCTCCCTGTCAAAGGTAAGTGAATAAACTCTCCCCTAAGGATTTTTTTTTCTTCCAAGTTCATGGACTGGAAATTATGATCTTTCCTCTTGGAATTCCAGGTTCGTTGAGAAATACAATGAATTGAAGAACAAGGAGGGAGAAATGGACGAAGACCTATTATTTGCAGAAACAGGGAAAGCGCTTTTGGCAGAGGGCCTGGTTTTATCAAGAAAGGGCAAAAAAGTAAGTATCCAGAAGCAAATGCCATTTTTTTTGGTATCACATTGGAATGCAGGGTGTGCAGCTGTCATAAATAAGTGTGGCATAGTAATTAAACCAGAAATATGGTAACCAAGTTTTAGTAGAAATCTTTTAACATGAAAATGAAGAGGCCTGGTGGCTGAGTTGCTCAATGATGCTGGAGATGATCTTTGCTTCAGCGGTCTGAGTCCTAGCACTGCATGGCAGGGTGAGCTCCCGTCACTTACCTCAGCTCCTGCCCACCTAGCAGCTTGAAAGCATACTATATGCGATAGATATGTAGGTACCACTTTGTTGAGGAGACAAGCCAGCGCTTTGTGTTGAGAGTTAGAATCCTGCAGGCACTGAACCTTCCCGGTTGCAATGCCTGTTTGCCAGAAGGCTTCGGAGGAGGGAGAGGGCACCGGGTGACACTGCAGGAAAGCAGCTTGTCTTCTTTTATGAGGTGGAACTGGCTCACCCCCTGAGACGCCCCTTGGAAAGCGTGTGAGCATGAACCAAAACAGGGCTAGCGGTTTTAGGCAGCCAAAGTACTCTGCATTAGCATTTTAGACTCCTGGCTTATATAATAGTAGTAGTAGTAGTAGTAGTAGTAGTAGTAGTAGTAGTAGTAGTAGTAATAATAATAATAATAATAATAATAATAATAATAATAGTAAAGACTGTGGCAAAAGGAAGCAAGGGTAGTACCAATAGTCATAGGCGCCTTGGGTGCAATCCCAAAACAACTGGAGCACCACTTGAACACAATTGGCATTGACAAATTCACTATTAGTCAATTGCAAAAGGCGGCCTTATTAGGAACTGCTTCCATCCTGCGACGATATCTGTAATACCATCAAACATCCACATCTGCCTATCCCAGGTCCTGGGTAAGGACTCGATAGGTAGACAAAATGCCAAATCCAGTCTGAACATCTGGCTGACTGTGTGATGATCGATAATAATAATAATAATTAGTAGTAGTAGTAGTAGTAGTAGTAGTAGTAGTAGTAGTAGTAGTAGTAGTAATAGGCACCTTGGGTGCAATCCCAAAACAACTGGAGCACCACTTGAACACCATTGGCATTGACAAATTCGCCATTAGTCAATTGCAAAAGGTGGCCTTACTAGGAACTGCTTCCATCCTGCGATGATATCTGTAATAACATCAAACATCCACATCTGCCTATCCCAGGTCCTTGGGAAGGACTCCATAGGTAGACAAAAATGCCAAATCCAGTCTGAACATCTGGCTGACTGTGCGATGATCAATGATGATGATGATGATAATGATGATGATGTTGGAAGGGACCTTGGAGGTCATCTAGTCCAACCCCCTGCTAAGGCAGGAAACCCTATACCATTTCAGACAAATGGCTGTCCAGTCTCTTCTTAAAAACTTCCAGTGTTGGAGCATTCATCGCTTCTGGAGGCAGGTTGTTCCACTGGTTAATTGTTCTAACTGTCAGGAAGTTTCTCCTTAGTTCTAGGTTGCTTCTCTCCTTGGTTAGTTTCCATCCGTTGCTTCTTGTCCTGCCTTCAGGCGCTTTAGAAAATTGCTTGACTCCTATTTCTTTATGGCAACGCCTGAGATATTGGAACACTGCTATCATGTCACCTCTCATTCTTATCTTCATTAAACTAGACATACTCAATTCCAGCAATTGCCATATGCTAAATAAATAAAAACCTTGAAAACTTGACATTTTCTGGAAGGAGTATAAGGAGTTAAATTTTGAAGATTCAGCATAGAAGGCCTTGTGCCTGTCTAAATTGATCCATAAAGTGGTATTTTCAGCCAAGTCTCACTAATCTGCATAAGGGTTAATACCAAAGTTGTTACTGGATAAGAGACAGATCCAGATTAATTATCCTTATCTTCCAGAATAAGCAAATCCTTTAATTAAAAAGGGGGTGGATACTGTCATTTTGCAAAATAAATCATTCTAGCATTGCCTTCAGTATTGACAATACCCTGGACCTCATAACACAGGGAACCTATAATAGAAAACATTAGGTGAGGATGAATTACAAACGATGACAGCATTTTGAATTATTCAACATTATTTCCTCCATTAATAATAATAATAATAATAATAATAATAATAATAATAATAATAATAATAATAATAAAGTTGGAAGGGACCTTGGAGGTCATCAAGTCCAACCCACTGCTCTGGCAGGAAACCTATATCATTTCGGACAAATGGCTGTCCAGTTTCTTCTTTAAAACTTCCAGTGTTGGAGCATTCACCAGTTCTGGAGGCAGGCTGTTCCACTGGTTAATTGTTCTAACTGTCAGGAAGTTTCTCCTTAGTTCTAGGTTGCTTCTCTCCTTGATTAGTTTCCATCCGTTGCTTCTTGTCCTGCCTTCAGGTGCTTCGGAGAATAGGTTGACTCCCTCTTCTTTGGGGCAGCCCCTGAGATATTGGAAGACTGCTATCCTGTCCCCTCTCGTCCTTCTCTTCATTAAACTAGACATACCCAATTCCAGCAGCCGTTCCTTAATAATAATAATAATAATAATAATAATAATAATAATAATAATAATAATGCCAAATCCAGTCTGAACATCTGGCTGACTGTGCGATGATCAATAATAATAAATAAATTTGCCATTAGTCAATTGCAAAAGGCGGCCTTACTAGGAACTGCTTCCATCCTGCGACAATATCTGTAATACCATAAAACATTCACATTTGCCTATCTCAGGTCCTGGGTAAGGACTCAATAGGTAGACAAAATGCCAAATCCAGTCTGAACATCTGGCTGACTGTGCGATGATCCATAATAAAGTTGGAAGGGACCTTGGAGGTCATCCAGTTCAACCCCCTGCTCAAGCAGGAAACCCTATACCATTTCGGACAAATGGCTGTCCAGTCTCTTCTTAAAAATTTCCAGTGTTGGAGCATTCACCGCTTCTGGAGGCAGGTTGTTCCACTGGTTAATTGTTCTCACTGTCAGGAAGTTTCTCCTTAGTTCTAGGTTGCTTCTCTCTTTGGTTAGTTTCCATCCATTGCTTCTTGTCCTTCCATCAGGTACTTTGGAAAATAGCTTGGCTCCCTCTTCTTTGTGGCAACCCCTGAGATATTGGAAAACTGCTATCATATCTCCCCTCGTCCTTCTCTTCATTAAACTAGACATACCCAATTCTAATCATCATCATCATCATCATCATCATCATCATCATCATTTTAGCCATTGTCTACCCACTGCAGGATGAAGGCCTCTTCAGCATGTTTCCAGCCCATATGGTCCTGGGCTCCCTTTTGCCAACTGGGCCCGCAATACTTGCTGACGTCCTCAATCCATCTTGTTCTAGATTTCTTTCGTGGATGCTTTTTATCAAGGGGGATCCATTCTATGCCTGCCTTACTCCACCTGCCATCAGTTCTTCTTGCTATGTAACCAGTCCATTTCCATTTCAGTTCTTTTACTCTCTTGATGATATCCTACACTTCTGCTTGTTCTCTAATGAGGTTAGTGTCCGTGTTTAACCGGCATATGTTAGAGCAGGTAGCACACGGGGATCGAAAACGTTTCAGGCACGGGGGGGGGGGGTCTTGAAAATTATGCTTAGCTTGTCTATTGTCTGCCAACCACATTTAACACGCCGTTCAATTTCCTTTATTGTATCACCTTCCATTGAGATCCATTGGCCATGATATATGTAGTGGTCTACTACAGAGGTCCCCAACCTTTTGGGCACCAGGAACCGGTTCCGTGGAGAGAGGTTTTTCTGTGGACCGGAGAGGGCGTGGTTTTGTGTGCTCCCACAGATGAGGCTTCGTTTGTTTGAGCAGACCGGTTTCTGGCATGCCGTGGCCCGCTGCCAGTCCACGGACTGGAGTTTGGGGACCCCTGGCCTACTATGTATAGTTTTTCTCCAGATACGGAATTTTTTTTCTTTCTTTGGTGAATTTATTAAACATAACCTGGCTCTTTTTCAGGTTTATTTTTAAGCCAAATGGTTCTCCTGCTTTTGTATGAGTCTTTGTAGCTCTTTTGGGTCTTGTGAGAAGCGAACAACATCATCTGCAAATCTTAAGTGATTGAAATTGATTTTAATTCCATCTTTTGCCCAGGCTAGCTTGCAAAATACTTCTTCAAGGCAGGCTGAGAAAAGGATGGGTGATATTGTAGCCGCCTTGTGGTACACCTCGTTCTTCGTTGATAAGACATAGGCAGGGAGGAGACAGAGCAGGTTCATTGCATCGAAAGCACTGTCTAACCCAGGGGTAGGCAACCTTGTCTCTTTTATGACTCGTGAACTTCAACTCCCAGAATTCCTGAGCCAGCTATGCTGAGGGGAAAGGGAGAGCTTGCCATGCTGAGCCATGCTGGCTCAGGAATTCTGGGAGTTGAAGTCCACGAGTATAAAAGAGCCAAGGTTGCCTACCCCTGACCTAACCATTTCATTCTCTGCTGTCCCTTTCTCCTTTTGCCTTCAATCACCTATCCATGAAAGTGGCAACTGGAGAGCCTTCTTTCTTGTCTTTCACTGCTGATGCAACTGTTTTGCATGACATTTGCCTCTCCCAACAGTATCTTTCCATTCAAGTCTAGGTGCAGCAGTTTTGGGGGAATGGGAGAAGCTGTTATGCTGTTTTCAATTGTCAGTCAGACAGCAAAGCTGGCTGGGGAATTCTGGGAGTTGAAGTCCACCCGTCTTAAAAGTTGCCAAGGTTGAGAAACACTGTATTAGGCCAAAGCTCTCTGCCCGCATTTGCTTTCTTTATCAAACGGAAATTCCTCCAGTGAATCACTACATAGGCACGTACCACAAATAAGTCCAATTCCAGAGCATTGTAAGATTACAAGGTTGGCTTTCCGAAGGAGGAAGAACTGAGGCGCTAAGGTTGATCTTTGTTGGCCTGCAGACACAAGAGTCAGCTAGAGCAGTGTTTCTCAACCTTGACAATTTTAAGGCACGTGGACTTCAACTCCCAGAATTCCACAGCCAGCAATGCTGGCTGTGGAATTCTGGGAGTTGACGTCCACGTGCCTTAAAATTGTCAAGGTTGAGAAACACTGAGCTACAGCAAGTTAACCTTGTGCAAACAGCTGTGTCCAGCTCAATCCTCCTTGGGAGCAATCTGGATCAGGAGTCCTGATCTCAATTTGCTAAAACCATCTATCCTACACTGCTTATATGGATAGAGTTGTGCCTTTGCCTGCCAGCCAGATTAGGATATACACACCTGCTGTTTGCTCTCAGAATACCAACTACAGGTAGTACTTGACTTACAACAGTTCATTTACTGACTGTTCGAAGTGACAGTAGCACTGAAAAAAAGTGACCTGTGACCGTTTTTCACATACAACCGTTTTGGGCTCAATTGTGGTCGTAAATTGAGGACTGTATTGCCCTTTCCCTTTTTGACATTGACATCTTATTGATATTACTTTTTGACTCCCTTGGGTGTAGAAGAAAGGATGATAATTGGCTGGTTTGACCCCTGACGTTAACCGCAACCTGATTGGGAACTAAAGCTGTGTTACTTTGATCTGGAAAGATTCAGTTTCTGGTTTCACTTTTGCACATTGTGCGATTCCTCTGCTTTTATCCAACAGGTTGCTCCAAGGCCTCCATCAACCATGCCTGTATTAGAGCTTCAAGGCCTATTGCAGGACAAGGAGGACGGCACAGAAAATCCGGAGCCAAAAACAGAGCCCAGCGAAAAGCCAATGGAAGAACCCTTTCCCTCCTAAAAACTATGTGATTCTGTTTAAACCAGTTTTTATTGACGGCATGACCCTTTGATAGAAAGACTCTTCCTAAAGTTCTGGTTTTCTCCTTGTTAGGAATGCTTGAACGGACTGCAGAAAAATCACAAGAACTTTCTTAGGGCAAGTCATGTTCCCCAAAGTGTACATTTCAACAAACAGTGGATTTGATTATTAAAATCATTCTCTGGAAACATTTCTGCAGTGGATATTCTAGCCTTCAGTTAAAGTAGAGATGAGTTCCCTGTGAAGTAATCCAAATGCTAAGGAACTGGTTCCATTTATTCTTATCTAACAAAATGAAATTCAGTGGTGAAAAAAGTAAGGTTCTACATACGTTTAAGCAAGAAAAACCAAATTTACAGGTATAGTATAGGGGGTACCTTGCTCAATAGTAGTAACTGTGAGAGGGACCTCGGAGTCCTAGTGGACAATCATTTAAATATGAGCCAGCCGTGTGCTGCAGTTGCCAAAAAAGCCAACACAGTGCTAGGCTGCATTAACGGGGATAGAATCAAGACCACATGAAGTGTTAATACCACTTTACAATGCCTTGGTAAGGCCACACTTGGAATACTGCATCCAGTTTTGGTCACCACAATGTAAAAAAGATGTTGAGAGTCTAGAAAGAGTACAGAGAAGAGCAACAAAGATTATTAGGGGACTGGAGGCTAAAACATATGAAGAACAGTTGCTGGAATTGGTTATGTCTAGTTTAATGAAGAGAAGGAGGAGGGGGGACATGATAGCAGTCTTCCAATATCTCAGGGGCTGCCACAAAGAAGAGGGAGTCAAGCTATTCTCCAAAGCGCCTGAAGGCAGGACAAGAAGCAATGGATAGAAACTAACCAAGGAGAGAAGCGACCTAGAACTAAGAAATTTTCTGACAGTTAGAACACTTAATCAGTGGAACAACCTGCCTCCAGAAACTGTGAATGCTCCAACACTGGAAGTTTTTAAGAAGAGACTGTCCCCCTGTGGTAGGGGGTTGAGGTTAGTTGAGGTGCATTTCTCCTTTTTATTTTAATTCTTCATTATAGAGCATTGGCAGCTGGTATGAGCAGAGACGATGCTTCTGCAGGTAGCATGGTGCCAGGCAAAACTAGTGTTTCTTAACCTTGGCATGTTTAGGATGTGGGGACTTCAACTCTTAAATAATTCACTTTACAATTGTGGCAAAAAAGTTTGCAGAATCGGGCACGACTCACTTAACAACTGCCTTGCTTAGCAAAACCAATTTATTTATTTATTGAAGTCTGGTCCTGGTTGTGGTCATAAGTCGAAGTCCCAAAGCTGTTGCTCATCTGGAAGCTGCTTTTAATTTAAATTTAAAAAGCAGACGACTTCTATTCTGCCAGCACCATATTTCTCTCAACCTTCTCCCTCAGTGTAAAGGCCTAACCCTTGACAGTCAGAATACAGAATAGCAGATTTGGAAGGGACTTTTCAGGTCTTCCTGAAAAAAGGTGGCTGGGGAATTCTGGGAGTTGAAGTCCCCACATTTTAAAGTTGCCATGGTTGAGAAACGCCAGATTAAGGTGTTGAACATGGAACAGGTTCTAGTCTACCCCTAGCCATGGGACCCCTCTCTCAATATTTGTGCACTGGACTCAGTTCAAAGTGCTGGTTTTGAGTTACAAAGGTTTACACAAAATAAGACTGGCTTACATTAGACACCACTTTACCGACATTGGATCGCCTGTCTGGTGAGCCTGTACCATGGATGATTAAAAACTAAACGTCCTCACTTCATCCGAGGGTAAATGTTCATAGACAATACAAGCCTTGGTGATGCCCACAGATCCCTTTGTCCAACCCATTTGTCGACATAGCTCCTTTGTGTTATTTGGAAAATCATTGAATGGCTGATTCCACCAATTGAAAGCTGTTGACATTCATCTTGGGGGTGGTTGGGTTATGTTAATTGGAGATGGCTATAAAAATGGTGAATTAAGTAGATAATAAAGTAAAAGAAGATCCTCATATAACTTTGTGTTCTTGGTGGAACCAAGAAGCAGCCAACACTATCCCCTGTCAGATGCTGGTTTGGAGTTTATTTATTTATTTATTTTATTTATGAGACTTATATACCGCTTTAAGTGCAAGCACTCTCTAAGCGGTGTACACCAGTAAGCAATGTGTATATATATTTACATTGCCCCCAACAATCTGGGTCCTCATTTTACCTACCCCGGAAGGATGGAAGGCTGAGTCAACCTTGAGCCGGTGAGATTTGAACCGCTGACCTGCTGAACACAGTCAGCTAAAGTGGCCTGCAGTACTGCACTCTAACTGCTGCGCCACCTCAGCTCATTGACTTGCAACGAGGATGAAGCTGTAGAGCAGGGGTCCCCAACCCCCAGTCCATGGACCAGTCCTGGGCCACGGCATGCCAGCAACCGGGCCACACAAACAAGCAAAGCCCCATCTGCAAGTTGCAGGCAGCACACAAAACCACACACCCTCGGGTCCATGGAAAAACCTCTCTCCACGGAACCAGTCCCTGGTGTCCAAAAGGTTGGGGACCTCTGCTGTAGAGCGTTTCCAGATAAGTAGTTCTTATCTAGAGCTAGTAGATTAGCAGGTATAAAGTAGCCTCCATAAGTCCATGGAAAAAAAGATTTCTCAAGAGTAATTTTAATTCTTCATGGTAGAGCATAGGCATCTGATATGATACAGGGAGGAGGCTTCTGCAGGCAGAGTGATTCTCTTAAGGTGGTGTTGGATAAGCAGAGCCAACCTACTTAAAAAGTGTGGCAGTGGGGACCTAGAAGATGAAAATGGAACCAAATACATATACAAGAAATCAAGAGTTCTGGAGTTGGTGGTGGCTGAAAAAAATCAAGAAGTTGGTCATAACTGGTTGAAGCCATGCCTCTATTTTACTTTAATTGCTTACTGTGGCTGCTGTCCTTGATATTTGTGGTCCCAATGGATACACCTGGAGAAAGCAGCTACAGAATGTAAGAGGTGCAAGAGATTACTCCAGATCCTGGAGTATTGCAGTAGCCACAACAGCTGATCATCAAGCTTTGATTTAAACATTTTTGGCAAAGGAGAGTCCACCAGTTCTTAAAGCCCTTTATGGCATGGATCCAGGCTTTCTTTTACACACCATTCAAAAGAGGCAACAAAATAGCTCAAAAACCAAAAAGAACAGTCATAGCAATCAATACCCAGATAAGCAAGGATTAACGCCAGGCAAACAATCAGTAAACAATATCCTAATCAAGGAACTACCAATTCAGCAGTAAACAACAGCAGTAAACAACAGCCTAATCAAGTATTTTAGTGCATCACGCAGTCACTAAGTGAATCCAGCTTCCCCCATTGACTTCGCTTGTTGGAAGCTGGCGATGATATGACCTTGGGATGCTACAACTGTTGTAAATACATGCTGGCTGCCAAATGCCTGAATTGTGATCACATGACCACAGGGACATGGCAATGGTTGTAAGTGCAAGGACTGGTCGTAAGTCATTCTTTTCAGTTACATTGTAACTTTTAAAAGTTGCTAAATGAACAGTTAAGTCGAGAACTGTTGGAAGCTGGTTTGTTTTTGCTAATTTCACTGCCCAAAACATACTTGGAGCATGATCTAAGTGATCTTCATCTGTATGTCCTCTCTTTGTCTGCTAAGGACAGCGAATGGGGTAAGTCACCTTTTAAGATGCAGAGTCCCAGGGAAATTATTCTTTTTGCCTGAAGAATTAAAGGCAGCCTGGAAGGAAACACCATGTGTTTCATTCATGCTCATTGTAAGGGCTTTTGTCATTCACTGTGACCTTCCAGTCTGAAGTATTTTAATTAAAAGGTTGTAAGCAAAACCACCCCAAGGCTGACCTATTTACTTATTTATCAAGCGGTTTCCTTCCAGCAGTTAGCAAAAGGTCACCCAGTTTCTGCCTGGTTTAAAGTTATGATTCGGTGTTTTTTTTTTTTAAAGGAAGAAGTCCTTTGGAGATCCGATGCAAAAAAAAAAAAGAGGAAAAAATGCAGTCTAACCTTGAGTGGGGTGCGTGGGTGTAAAACGATCCCTGCCAATCAGGACACTGACTTGTAGGACAAAGAGTCTGCCAAACACACCGGAGACAAGGAAACTGTTTCTTATAGAGGTCCGCTTCCACAAAAGCTAAGCAACTGGGTAGTGATTATGGCCAATAATGAGATATTGATTGTTCTGCAAATGTCACTGCTGGAAGGGCAGAAATCCCAAGTATCGGAAGATGCCGGTTCTGTTTCCTCCACTAGGTGGCACTGTAGAGTTTCCAATGATGGACGGGTTCCTTTTCAAAATTACAAGATTCTTTAGAATTCCTGTTCTAACAATTCTTTAAATTATGCGGCCACCCACTTCAGTGACCTTCAAAGAGAAGTTTCTGAAGGATAAACCTATGGTTGGAGAGTGGAGAATGTAGCTAGTCCTTGAGATGCAATTATTGATTTAGTGACTTTTCAAAGTTATATCAACACTGAAAAAAAGGGATTTATGCTTGTTTTTTCTCACTTAATGATTGTTGCAACATCCCTGTGGTCATGTGATCAAAATTCAGACGCTTGACAACTGGCGTCCTGGGGTCACGGAATCTCTTTTTGCGACCTTCCGACAAGCAAAGTCAACGGAGAAGCCAGATTCACTGAACAAATATATAACTAAATTAACAACTGCAGTGATTCACTAAAACTTGTGAGAAGAAAGGTAGTAAAATGGGGCAAACTTCACATATCAAATGTCCTGCTTAGCAGTGGGAATTTTGGGGTCAATTGTGGTCGTAGGTAAGTAAGGATTTCCTGTACATGCAGCTCTGGGTCAAGTGGGTAGATTTTGGTGAACATCAAGAGCTTAGCTATGATGGGGAAATATTGCCCTCGTGCAGCGTCCCCATGGTCACTTGATCAAACTCCAGCAGCTTTAAGATGGGTGGACTTCAATTCCCAGAATTCCCCAGCCAACCTGGAGACCAGAGTTAGCTGTTGGCTTTCTTCCTCATAGCCATCAGATGCAGACCTTCTCACATCCAATGTCATCCAGGTAAGCATTGAGGGATGCTGTTAGGACCAATTCCTTCCAGATACCTCCCCCAAGTTCCAGATCCATTATTCCCCATAAACGTCTTTTGCATGGTAGAAAAGATCTGCAGATTGGCTTACCTTCTCTTCAGTGAGTACAATTAGACCTCAACTTATGATCACAAT